CCTCTGCATCCTAGGACACGCAGGGAGAAATGGAGAAAGCAACAACTTGGCTTATGAGAGAGGAAGCGGCCATGATACCCCTTATTGGTTGCAGCTGGGGAGAATAGTATATAAGAGAGACGGTGGTTACAACACAGCGTTGCCAGAAGCAAAGCGTGTTTTATTTTGGGCTGAAGTTATCTTGGTTGGCGTCCTTCCAACAGACTGTGCCTTGTTATCTCCTTGAAGTTGGTAATTATTTATCTTGGTCCGTTGTGGAAATTCCTTCATTGTAGTTTGTTTTGGTTTTTTTTATTTCACCTTTATCTGGTCTTTGAGTTCTGACTGTATTGCTTTCTTTTGAAGACTATTTTTGAATAAGGGGTTTGAAAGAGCAGTGTGGCAGCTTGGAAACCGAAAGTGCATTCCATACATAGTTTTTCAGAGATTGTAACTAGGGGAGTGAAGTTTCTGCTGCGCAAAAATCTTAATTGGAGAACAAGATTGATGACTCTGGGCTATGGAGGTTTCCCATTGGAGAATATGAATTACAACACATCCAGGGGATGGGGGGGAAACCAGGGTCAAGGGTGACAATGAATGATGTGTCTCAGAGTCAGCTACACCCAGGCAGTGCCGGACATGTTAACTCCCAATAAATCCTGTTTAGTTTTGGAAGTTTGGCTTGAGACTCATGATTTAAATGGGGTTAAGTGCCGGAGTCCTGACAGCCAGTCACTCAGTGAACTGTCGTAAGTTGATGACTACCTGTGCAGAAGAGAGCAAAATCTGCAGGAGGATCATTGTCTATTCCCAAGTGATAATGATGTTAAAAGTGCATTCCCTACATAGTTTTTCAGAGATTGTAACTAAGTGACTGAAGTTTCTGCAGCGCAAAACTCTAACTGGAGAACGTGATGGATGACTCTTAGCTATGGAGGTGTCCCATTGGAGAATATGAATTAGGATACACCCAGGGGGTGCCTCCCGATTTAGAGAATTAGCCCTTTCTGGGAGAGGGGGAAAAAAGGGCATAAGATATAAAGTTTGCTTGTGTGTTTTGTCTCTTTCTGGCGTACAAGCAAAAGCGGGGCCCCGGGTTCAAATACGCCTCCAACCTGCCCGGCTCTTTGCTCAAAGAGCAGAAGATCAACCGCGAGAACAAGGAAGTCGTCCCCGAGATCCCCAAGAGGAAAGTCGAGTGCGAGGAATCGCCTCGCAAGAAATCCGACGAGCGCTCCCCGAAGCCCCCCCTGGACCCTCTCTTGAGGAGGAAGTCCTCGGAGGAAGCCCACCTGCGCCGCAAGCGGAAATTGGATAAACCCCAAGAACCGGCGTTGAGGAAGCGGGTAAGACCCGGGAAATCGTGTGTTCCCCCTTGGGTGTTTTGGGTCAAAAAGGCCGGAGAAGGTGCCTCTGTAGAAGAAGCACATGACAAGGGGGGGGGGGTCAGGAGCTGGGGAAACACCCCCCACCCCCCCAGTAAGAAAGGTCACTGTCCTGCCCTTCCCTATAAGCCGCGATCGGACCGTTTCCTCCAACCTGGTACAAATCCACATTTGCAGAGAGGGATGAATGTAAAAATTCCTAGCCTCCTGTCAGTCCTGCCTCAGCTTGAACCTTTAAGCAAGAAAGACCCTGGGTTCCATGTGTTGAGAAAGGTATAGTTTAGTAAAGGTCAAGTGGAATTACGGTAAAGCAAAGCCAGAACTGAAATTTGTGCGCCAAATCTCCCCCAGCAATAGGTTGTCCCATCCATTTTAGAGAAAACGTTTTTTTGAAATGGTCACTCTTGAGGAGAAGCTGCCCTGGGGCTGCATTCTTACCCCGGGAAGCGACCTTGAAACGCTGTCTCTTGGGAGACAAGCTCGCTCCTATTACTCTCACTTTACCCCCAAGCATTCCCTGTCCCTTTCACCCACCACCAATTCTAGCACACCTGGAAGGGGCCCAGAGGTGGAAGAGGTCTAAATGGTCTGTTTCTAAACTAACCGGCCATCCAGGGTAGTGTTTTGAAATCTCTGGGTCTTTAAGCCTTGCAAACTTTTAATTCCCAGAATTGCCCCAGGCGGCCTGGAAAGAGCGACTTCCAATAAATAAAATTGACATTTTTCCTCCCTTCCTTCCTTCCCTGACCGTAGCTAAAACTGGGGAAAGAAGAAAAGCTGTTCAGGAAAAAGGTAAGTTCTTCATCTGTATGGATTTCTCCCCCCCCCCCCCCCATAGGACACCAGTCACTATACAGGTAGTTCTTGACTTACAACTGTTTAGTGACTCTTCACTAAACGGCGGCACTGAAAAATGTGACTTACGGATGTTTTTCACACGACCGTTCCAACATCTCTTGTCGGGTTTCCAAGTGATGAAATCCATTCAAAAAGAAAAAAGAACAAAGTCCCATCTTCCAAAACAATTTCTTTTATTTACAACAGCATCAAATTGGCAAAGTCTGTTGTAATTCCGGATCTGACTCAACCCGGAATTACGCCACATAATATTGGAAGTTAGAAACAACCTCTAAAAGTCCCATTCCCCAACAGAGGCAAATCAACGTTTGCCTGGTGTCATCGGTCTCCACCTCCAGGTCTCAGCAGGGTCAGTTTTCGTTCCCACGGGAAGAAGAACCACCTAGCCTAAACAACTCTGACTATCTCCACTCCTCCCACCTTAGGAATGTGGCAAGCCCAAAACCCTTCCCCCCATAACCAGCAAAGAGAAAGGAAGAAAAGGAATATATAAAAAGGCTAAATAAAATGGCTCTACACATATGTCAGGTTTGGGGCTTGACATCTCTAGGTTCACATGATTAAAATTCAGACTCTTGGCAACTCATATTTATGACGGCCCAACGTCCCAGGGTGACGTGATCCCCTTTTGTGACCCTCTGAAGGGGGGAATCAATGGGGAAGCCAGATTTGCTGAACAGCCGTATTACTAACTGACCATCTGCAGTGATTCACTTAGCGACTGTGGCAAGAAAGTTGATAAAATGGGGTGAAACTCTCTTAATGTTTCGCTTAGCAACAAAAAATTTGGGGGGCTCCATTGTGGCCGTAAGTCAAGGACTACGTATGTAGAAGCGTTCCTCAACCATGGGAACTTCAAGAGGGGTGGGCTTCAACTCCCAGAATTCCCCAGCCTCCCCACGTTGGGTTTCGCACCATGGTTGATCGATTCTCCTTCGATGTTGGGGTACCTTTCCCCTTTCCAGAGGCGCTCCTGGAAGACCCCCGATGACCGGGTGGCCGCCATCAAACCCCTGAGGCGCTTCAAGCAAGAAGGCGGGGAGGCCTTCCCGGAGGAAGCTCCCAAAACCAAGGAGAGCGACCAGTCGCGCTCGAGCTCACCCACCGCGGGGCCAAGTTCGGAAGGCGCCGAGCCCCGGGAGAAGAAGAAGTTCAAGATCCGTCGGAAAGCTCGGCTGCCCAACAAGGAGCTGAGCAAGGAGCTGAGCAAGGAGCTCAACCAGGAGATCCAGAAGACCGAGAACAGCCTGGCCAACGAGAACCACCAGCCCATCAAGTCGGAGCCGGAGAGCGAGACCGAGGAGGACAAGCACCACCTCGGCCCGGAGCAGCCGCACCCCCTTGCCAAGGGCTTCAACGGGACGCCGCGGGAACTCCGCCACCAGATCCTCTCCAGCCTCCGCAGCGGTGGCGGCGCCACCACTCCCACCCCCAGGGCCATCGCCCGGCCCCCGCCTTCCCTCTCGCCCCCCAAGTGCATGCAGATGGAGCGGCACGTGGTGCGGCCACCCCCCATCAGTCCCCCGCCCGACTCGCTCCTGCTGGATGACGGAGGGGCCCACGTGATGCAGAGGGAGGTGTGGATGGCTGTCTTCAACTGCCTCCGACCCGGGGAACTCTGCGTCTGCATGAGAGTGTGCCGGACCTGGAATCGGTGGTAAGGAATAGGGGGGGAATGGGGGGGGGGGGGGGCTATTAGGGATGGGAGGGCAGGCTGGAACTGGGGTGTCAGGGGGCCCCTTAGTATCTGGCGGCCAGGATTGCAACGGTCTGACTCTGATCAGGATAAAGAGAGGCGAGAATTCAGTGGGGCTTGGAAAACCTTGTGTGGTCCTCTTTTTTTGGCTTTTGTTAGAATTTATTGTCGTATAAAATACAAATAAAAGGGAGAAAGGAAAAAGGGAGAAGAGTCTAAAGTAAAAAAGAAAGAGAAGATTATTTTTGGTGCCGTAAAATACAGTTACAACCTCCACATTCAGAGGCTTGGCAACTGGCTCATGTTTATGACGGTTGAAATGTTGCAGGGTGACGTGATTTCCCCTTTTGCCAGCTTCTGTTCTGACCCAAACCCTTTCCCAATAAAAGAAACACGAACCAAAGGGAATAGAAACCTTTTAATGATTCTTACAAATCCCTGGTTAAAAGGCTGCTGCAAACTAACTTTGATAAGCATGAGCCTCGCCAAAACTGCGAGGCCGCCAAGAATAACAGATAAGGTTACCTAGAGATATTTTACAACACAAAAGAGTCTTCAAATACCAACTTCGGATACTGTAATGTCCACGAGGCTCGAGTTTCAAAACGTCTTTGCTTCCTGCAAGGAACATCCGATTCACAGCTGGCTTTTACTTTCTTGAAGGAGGGGCCATTACCTTGCAGCTTTACTCCTGAGTTGCCCGTGCTGTTGTAACTGCTCTTTCCTCTGAGCAACCCTGCGCGCACTTGGCACAGGCTCCTCAGGAACCTCCTCCTTGCTACTGCCAGCCCCCACAATCTCTGAAGGCAGCAGTCCACTCCCTGATGGTCCTGGATGGATCTGAGTCCTCGCTCTCCTCAGCCGTCCACACCTGCTGCCGGCTAACCACAACACCTTCTGACAAGCAAAGCCCATGGGGAAGCCGGATTCCCTTAACAACCAGGTTATTAACTGATCAGCTGTGGTGATTCGCTTTGCAACCAAGGCAAGGAAAGTCTTAAAACAGAGCAAAACCGACTTAAATCTCAGTTCACGATAGAAACGTTGGACTCCATTGCAGTTGTAAGCCGAGGAATACCTGTATTTCAAGCCTTGTATTTCTTTCCAAGATGTGGGCCAGACCTGCCTCTCCTCTGCTCTCCCCCAGGTGCTGTGATAAAAGGCTGTGGACCAAAATAGACCTCAACCATTGCAAATCCATCACTCCCTTGATGCTGAGCGGTATCATCAGAAGGCAGCCGGTCACGTTAGATCTCAGCTGGACAAATATCTCCAAAAAGCAGCTCAGCTGGCTTATTACCCGGCTTCCAGGTAGGTTCTCACCTTAGCAATTCCTGTGTCAATCCTGAAGCCATTTCCCACCACCGGCACCTTCAGGGCTGCCACAGCGGAGATGAGTCGAGCTGTGGGAAACAGCAACGGGGAAAAGGCAGAGCTTGCCGGGGGTGGGGTGGGGGGAGAGGATTGTAGCCAAAATAAAACTCTTTCCTCTGGGAACCAAGGACTTTCCCACCAGGTGCTACAGGAGGTGGGACCAACTGAGACCAGCTGACCTTGGGCTGTGACCTGATTGGACCACGTGATGGAGGGCAGGGGGAAGAAAACTTTACTTTTAACTTGGAGGCTGGGGTTAGAGTCGGGTTTCCCCAGATGTGCCAATAGGTCATGCCTAGTCTATATACATAATATAAGCGAAATGCCACTCGTGCATCATCAGAAAATCTCCAGAAACGTAAAGCCTACAAACTTGAAATTTGGCCCGTATGTTCCTCTTGGCTTCTAGGGGCTCACTAAGAAAGGATTTTTCGAAATGACCATCAGAGCATTAGTATTTCCCATATTATTATTATTATTATTATTATTATTATTATTATTATTATTATTATTATTATTATTATTATTATCTTGCTCTGGTGCTAAGGAGTTCTACTCCCCCGCCCCACCTAGAAAGAAATCTCTTCCAAAGGCAAAACACAAGCAGAGGAGTTTCAGTTTTAGTTTCAGAGCACCAAGCATCTTTTGTACAGAACAGTTGAGCTAAGCCACGCCCAGGCTCCTTGCTGTCTCCTTGCTCACATAGCAAATACTGTTTTACTTTCCAAATAGCCCTCAACACTCTCACACTGACAGGACGCTAGCCAGATGAATACTGATGGATGCTGGTAGGCAGAGGCAGAATTTTTTCCACTTATTTTCCTCCCCAAAAACTAAGCCCCCACCACATATTTTCGTAGCAAAGCACAGGGATCGAGCTAGTAAATCTGTACTTTGAGGAATATGCCTGCCTTGGAGTTTCGATCCCATTGGGTGTGTTAATTGGAACCCTGACATCCTGCCTTAGATGGAGCAGTGGAGAGAAGGAAGGAAGGAAGGATTGTCTTGAAGTTAGGATCACTTTTGAGGGTTACATCCTTCCTTCCCCATAGGTCTCCGGGATCTGCTTTTGGCTGGCTGCTCGTGGATCGCCGTGTCCGCACTTTGCAGCTCCAGTTGTCCCCTTCTTCGAACTCTGGACAGCCAGTGGGTGGAAGGCCTGAAGGATGCCCAGATGCGAGACCTTCTGTCCCCACCAACTGACAACCGGCCAGGTATGTACCCCCAATTTTGGACTCCAGCAAACAAGGCTTGGGTATCTCTTTTCAGGAGAGAAACCAGAGTATAAAACTACTAGGTTTCTCATTGATGGTGGCCTCAAGAATGGGGCAGAGGAAATGGGTAGAGTAGAATTGTGGGTGTGGTATGAGATTTGTTTTTTAGAAGGGGAATTCTTTTATTGGCCAAGTGTGATTGGACACACAAGGAATTTGTCTTTGGTGCAAATGCTCTCAGTGTACATAAAAGAAAAGGTACATGCGTCAAGAATCAGGAATCATCAGGTACAACACTTAATAATAGTCATAGGGTACAAATAAGCAATCAAATCATACTAGGAAACAGTCAATATAAATCGTAAGGATACAAGCGACAAAATTACAGTCCTACAGTCACAAGTGGGAGGGGATGGACGATAAGGAGTGATGAGAAGATTAATAGTAATGGTAGTGCAGACTTTGTCAATAGTCGGACAGTGTTGAGGGAATTATTTGGTGTTTTTTTGTTTAAAGTATATATATTATCCTATTCAGAGAAGGCTAGGCTACAAGTTAAAAAGGATGGGCTAGAACAGTAGTTTTCAAAGTTGGCCATTTTAAGAGGGGTGGGCTTCAATACCCAGAATTCCCCCCTGAGGGCTGAGGAATTCTGGGAATTGAAGCCCACTCCTCTTAAAACGAAAAACATTGGCGGAACTATCCACCCATATCAACTGATGGGGTAAGTTGTTTACCTTGTGAACAAAATTGTCTTCTCCTGCGTGATATTTTTATGTAGAAAGGATACCTCATTTGACCATCTCCAGGCATGGGTGAACCTGTTGAATCGCAGCCTCCGTAAATGAAATAACAACAAGACTTCTGCTGCCTTTTGTTCCTTGCGCAGGCCAAATCGACAACCGAAGCAAGCTACGGAACATCACCGATCTCCGCCTGTCCGGCTTGGACATCACGGACGCTTCTCTGCGCCTGATTATCCGGCATATGCCTCTCCTGTCCAAGCTTAATCTCAGCTACTGTAATCACATGACGGACCAGTCCATCAATCTGTTGACGGCGGTGGGGACTACCACGCGGGACTCCCTAACCAAGGTTATTTTGAAAGGTAGGCCGGGAGAGATTCAACAGGTAGATGTTCTGACCCAGCTCCCCAACAACGATGAACCCTCTGAAGTGAACTCAATGATTCCTTTAATTAGGAGTGTCGGCAGGCTCGGCAAAGTTTCTCTCTCACTGCAGGCTAACAAGTTTGTCCAACAGGGAGATGAATAGTTGTTTGCCACAATCTATTCATCTCTGCCCCCTGCCTTTTATCCCCAGAGCTAGGGTGGGGCTTCGCTAGCAGCGGTGGTTCTTCCGTCCCAAGGACCGGCCCATAGATTTCCACTGCTCTCCTCTCCTCTGCCTTCTGTGCATCCTCGCATCAGGCACTGGGCCCAGCAGTTTCTCATCTTCCACATCAGCCACCTCCAGACCTGGGGGCTGTTGACTCTCCATCTGGGGGCTGACAGACGGACCAGGCTCTGCCTCTGTCTCTGTCTCTGTCTCTCTCTCTCTGTCTCTCTTTGCCAGCTCCATTCCCTCTTTCCCCTCGGAGCTCTCAGGTTGCCTTGATACTGGCTCTGACTCCCACGCCTCCGACAGGCCACAACAGTAGAGTCCTTGGAAAGATCTCTGCACATCGTGATTTAAGGGTCCAGCTGCGACCCAAACAATCCCAGAGAAAAACCCTGCTGGATTGGTAAAAACGGGGACGGAACGAGCTATTCTGATTAATGCCCCCTCGTGTACCTTGCATCCTTCTTTACCATAGGAAAGTCCTTGACTTATAACCATTTCTTTAGGGACACTCACTAAACAGGGGAATGATCCTGACAAAAAGGGACTTGCAAACTGGCAAATCCCTGGACGTGCAACCGTTGCCGCTTCCCCACAATCCAAGCGATCGGAATTGTGGGCCCCTGGGAAACTGGCATGGATTTAACGGCAGTTGCAACAACATCCCAGGCCATGTGTGCAACCTTCCCAGCTGGTTTCCAACCTGGGGGATGGCGGACTCACTTAGTTGTGATTCACTTTACAACTTGCAGTGATTTGCTTAACAACCATGGCCAAAAAAAGGTGGCAAAATTGGGCGTGACTCCCTTAACCAGGTTGGCAACAATAATTCAGCTCCTAACGATAGTCGTAATTGGAGGACTCCTTGAATTTGGCAGCAGAGGTTTGGAGGTGCATTGATTGCCTTTGGCCTGGGGTCAAACTCTCATATTACAGGTATTCCTCAACTTACGGAGCACAAGTGAGCCCCCAATTTTTCTGTTGCTAAGCGAGACATTTGCTAAGTGAGTTTTGCCCCGTCTTACGACCTTGCCACCGTTGTCAAGTGAATCCCTCCAGCTGATGAGTTGGCAATAAATCTGGCTTCCCCTTGGATTTTGCCTGTCAGGAGGTCACAAAAGGGGGTTGTGGGTCCTAAATACAATTGTGTTTGATCACACAATCTGCATGGGTTGTAAGCGTAGAAAAAAAACCAGTCGTTGGTCCCTTTTTGCAGCGCCGTTGTAACTTTGAACGGCCACTAAGTGAACCCTCCCTCCCTCCCTTCCGCTTCCAGACTGCAACAAGGTGACGGATCAGTGCCTGTCGTACTTCAAGCGCTGCGGGAGCATCTGCCACATCGACCTCCGCTACTGCAAGCAGGTCAGCCGGGAGGGCTGCGAACAGTTCATCGCTGAGATGTCGGTCAGCGTCCAGTTCAGCCAAACGGAAGAGAAACTGCTGAAGAAGCTGAGTTAGTATTTGCAAGGACAGAGTTGTAAATAGAGGCGATGAAAGCCAGGGGGGAGTGGGGAGAGGAGGGGGGGGGCAAAAAGGACCCCAAGGAAGATGCTTCCATCCTCCGGACCCCACGGGAATCTACGGCACCCAGGTTAGCCATTTGGTGCTCCGCTGAGCCACGTGCACCTCGTGTGCTGGGAAAGATAGGGACGCGCCAACTCAGAACTGCGGCTGGAGCGTGGGGACGCCCGCGAAGACTTTCGGCAGGCCTCCGAAGCAGAACGTTCCTTCTGCGCTGATGAAGGTGGGCCCGTCCCCTGCTGGGTTTTTTCTGCCTACGGGACTGTGGTTGTTGGTTGTTGTTGGTTTTTTTTTTTCCTCCCCTCTCCCCCCCGTTACATCTTGACCTTAATGCAAAACTATTTTTGTACAAAATCCCTTTAAAAAGTTATTTATGCAAAAGTTCTCGAATGCATCTCCCGCGTTTTGACTTGGGTTTCTTCGCGTTGCCAAATGTTTCCGAAGAGAGACGACGACCGATCGGATGGGTATTTCCCCACTTTTGAAGGGGTGGAAGGGAAAATAGGGGAGGACTTTTTAAGATTGGAGGGAGGGGGGGGGGAAATAGCACGTTTTGTATACCATTTTGTATGCTCGAGCAACACGGTAAGGCGTGTGGGTGCAAAAAACAAGGGTGTACAGATGAAGGATGAAAGTGTTATTAAATTCTTCCCATATAAAGCCCACCTTTTCCTTAGTTTTGAAAGCTTTTCAGTTACAACCAATCTTCTGGTGAAAAGTATTTAGACAGGGGGTCCCCAAACTTGGCCACTTTAAAGACTTGTGGACTTCAACTCCCAGAATTCTTCAGCCAGCATAGTTTACTCTCTTGTAATCCCTTCCTCTGCAATCTCTCCTCTTTTGGGGGATGAGAAAAAGACACGATTGGCTGGGGAATTCTGGGAGTTGAAGTCCACAAGTTTTAAAGTTGCCAAGTTTGGAGATCTCTGTAATTTAAGATATTGGAGCTTTCAAGTTTTAAAGAGTTTTTGGGTTGTGTTTTTTTTAAATGAGTTGCTATAATTTAACTTTATTAACATTTTTTTTAAAAAAGGAGGTGGGAATTCAGTATACAGTACATGAAGTGCCAATGTTGTTAAAAGTGCTGTCTCCAGTTTCATTTCTTCCTCATACGGTTTTACCTCTATTCAAATTTGTATAAACGATTGTACAGAAAATAGAGGCTAGCTTGTATTATATCTGTTGAACCTGTGTAAGATTTCCTGGAAAAGTCCCCCCCCCCCCCCATTCACCCTCCCCCCAGCCCCCCCCAAAGTTGTTTCTCAAGAGCAAACTCGGACGGCATTTTTGTGATCCAGGGGAATCCAGTTGCTTTGTCCCTTGGGGCAAAAAGTAAAGAACTTTGCTTACCTGGTGGTGTGTTTTCCCTTTTCACCAGCTGTAGAAATGATGGTTAAAAGAAATCTGCAACTCACAAAAAGCTTTCGTGCAAGGCTGTCGAGCCTGTAGGTTTTAATACTTCCCCGACACACGGGGAAAATTAAGGGCCTCCTTTATTGCAGGCAGGGGACGGAGAGAGAAAAGCAGACCAAAGCCAATGGATAAAACATTTATTAAGCCAGCCGTTAACTCAGAATGTTATGGATATGCTACATTCTCCATTATGCACGTATAGCCCTGAATGAGTCGATATTCTACACCGTCCCCTTGAGAGACAATTTTCAAACCAAAACCAACCCCAAAGCCGTGATGTCTTGCTCCCTTCTGAAAAAAACGGTCAACTTCAATTCTCCCCCCACCCCAATCCTCCCCCAAAGCAGCAGGGCTAAATAAGTGAGATTGCAATCGGTTGCTCTTAGACCTGGCTCTTTTAAAAAAATAATTCCCGTTAGGTCTGCTGTGGGTTGCTTTTTGCTGCTGCTGGGTTTGTGACCTGGTTCCTTCCTGAATGTCTACACTTCGGTGGACATTGGGGGGGGGGGGTTGAGGGCTGGCTGGGTGCAGGGGAGCTGCAGCAGAGGGGCAGGCTACTATAGACCCCCTTACCTCCCCCCACCACCACAGAGGCTTCCCCGTTTGCTGGGAGCTACTTCGAATGGACCCATTTCTCCTGGGGGAGTTGGTACGGGAGTGAGTGGAGGGGGGCTCTCCCAGTTGATGTGGGGAAGACTTGGCTTTGGGAACAAGGCTGACGGCCGAGGGCTTCTCCCTCAGGTTATCCAGAGCCCGGCCTGGAGTGGGATCACACACCAGACCCGGCGTTGCCGTCAGAGCAATGGCTGTGATACGAAGCCCAGGGGGAAAGAGTCTCACTGCTTGTGGTCAGATCCTGGCATCCACTGGACACACTAGATTGGTCCACCCCCAGCCACCGATGGAGCCAGTTTCAGAAGAGGGTTGGAGGTGTTCCTGTTGGTAGGCAGTCCATCCAAACCTTTCTCTATCGAGGCGGATACAGGGGTCTCCAACCGTGGCCACTTGAAGACTGGTGGACTTCAACTCCCAGAATCCCCCAGCCAGCCATGCCTGCTTTTTTCCTCTCAAACTCCTACAGTGGAGAGAGATTGCAGGGGAAGGGATTACAAGAGAGTCAGCTATGCCGGCTGGAGAATTCCGGGAATTGAAGCTTGAAGTGGCCAATGTTGGAGACCTCTGACCTATCCTATGCAGCACCCTCAACCTCCCACCCACCCACCCACAAAAAGGCCTGGTTGTGTCATCAGGTCTGAGGGTTCCAGGGAACTAGACATTCAACACTGTCGTGGATTCTCCGTGTGGTTTGCATATTTTTTTTACAGTGCTTTTAAAATGTTTTTCCATGCCTAACGTTGCTTTACGGATTGTTCCACGCAACCCAGCGTTGCTTTTGGCGTCACGGGAGGGCCAGATCAACGTGTGACAAAGCCTGGGAAACGTTCTCAGAGCGAGCGTGTAAACTCAAAACTCTTCCCGTTCTGAATCCGAGGACATTTTTAGGCTCTCGGAACGGCGGTACAAACTCGCTCTGATGCAGGCGCTTTCCATTAAGGCTAACTGTCGATCCCCAGGTGTGCTGACACTCTGGGTGATTGGCACAAGAACTGCTCCGCCAGTCCGCCTGCAAAATTTCCCTCCCTGGGCAAGAAACGCCCCCCTGCCCCCCCAGGGAAGACTTCTGCTTCATCCAGTTGCTCTCTGGGAAGGTTTCCTCGCCTCTTGTGCTATTTTTCAGAAAAGAACAATCGGAAGCGTTGAATCTCCTCCTGCACGTTAGACTCTTTAACTCGAGTCTTGCCTTTTGTTCTTTTTTCCTTTTTTTTTGCTGTCTTGGAAAAATAAAAATAAAAAAAGGAAAAGGAAAAGCCATCCAGTTCACACATCTCTATCTTTAAGAGGCATCTGACTTGCAAAGCAGAAATACAATCGGTCAAAGCTCCTAAGGTCCCGGTCAGGATGCTATGAATGGATTGGGACAGAGGCTTTCCAGAGCCTCCCCTCCCTCCCTCCCTGCCCCCCCCACCCTACGTGGCCATCTCGGGAGGAAATGTGCAGCGGGAAGCTTCCGGAGGGTGGCTGAGCCCAGCCGCTCAGGACTTGAAGACGTGAACGGCCCGGATGACAAACTGGCGGCAGATCGGACACTCGCTCAGGCGCTTGCCGCATTTGGTGCAGGCGACCATGTGGCCGCACTCCAGCAGCACGCAATCGATGACCGCGTCCATGCATATCCGGCAAAGGTTGTCGTCCTCGTCGGTCAGCAGAGGTTTCTCTCCTTCTGCCAAAGGAGCAAACGGCACGGTTAGAGGACGCCTCCCGTTTACTGACCCAGTTTGTGTCATTAAGGACAGCGGCCCTCAACCTACGGCAACTGGGGATAGGAACTTCTGTCACTAAGCGGGTGTCAACTCATAAAATATTTCTTTTAGAGTTACCGGGAGAAAGGCCAATCAGTGGAGCAGCTTGCAAACCAAAACTGCATTCCACAAATGTTGTCAAAGATAGTAACTAGGTGACTGAAGTTTCTGCTGTGCAAAATTCTAATTGGAGAACATGATTGATGACTCTGGGCTATGGAGGTGTCCCATTGGAGAATATGAATTACAATACACCCAGGGGGTGGGAGAAAACCAGGGTCAAGAGTGACAGTGAATGATGTGTCTCAGAGTCGGCTGCACCCAGGCAGTGCTGGACATGTTCACTCCTAATAAATCAAGTTTTGGAACTTCAGCTTGAGACTCATGATTTAAATGGGGGTAACTGCCGGAGCTCTGACAGCGAGGCATTCCAAGGCTCCGGAAGGGAAACGGAGAGGGCGCGCCTTCCCTCCCGCGAACAAATGGGCGAGACGGGAAAGACAAAAACCGGGAGACTCACGCAGCCGGTGATTCGTCTGGTTCTCCTTGTAGAGCCAACTGACTTTTTCTACCAGTTCCCATTTTTCGCAACATCCCGAATAATTGACAAAGTTACAAGCTAGGATTTCTTTCAGCTGCCGGACAGTCAGCCCTTCCACGTCATCCAGGCTGGAGATGTCGGACAGCGAGGCCCTGGCACGTTTCCTGGACTGGCCTGGAGTCTAAAAAAAAACAACAGGTGTTTTCCATGGGCACAGGAGAAGAACGCTCCAGGGGCAATAAGCCCACCGATCCTGCAAAACTGGAAAGCCAAACCACCACCGATTCCCTTTCCCCCCACCCCTGAAAGGGCATCTACCTTCTGCAGGGGACGCCGCCTGGCAACAGGCCAGCCACGATTACCCTGCTGGCACTTCCTGCCAAACCCTTTCTTTGAGGCCAGCTGTTATCCAACCCACGTTGATAAAAAAAGATCCATTGCTGCATGTAGAGGGAGAGGATACGCAAGCAGGAACCCCAATTAGGTTGGGAAATATTGTTTGGTTTGCCTTCAAACCAGGGTTGTCCAAACTTGGCAACTTTTAAGACCCGCAGACTTCCAACTCGCAGAATTCCGGGCTGGGGAGGATTCCATGCAGGCTGGAGGATTCTGGGAGTTGAAGTCCACGGGTCTTAAAAGTTCTGGAGGGTGCTTTAAACCAGAGGTCTCCAAACTTGGCCATTTTAAGACTGGTGGACTTCAACTCCCAGGATTCTCCAGCCAGCATAGCTGACTCTCTTGCAATCCCTTCCTCTGCAATCTCTTTCCACTTTAGGAGATTAAGAGAGAAAAAAAGCAGGCATGGCTGGCTGGGGAATTGTAGGAGTTGAAAGTCCCCAAGTCTTAAAGTGGCCAGGGTTGGAGACCTCTACCTTAAAACTATACCAGAAAACTGAGAAGGGAGTAAAAAAAACAACCCTTGGGGTCAAATGTCATCAGGTGGTTCGTTCCTTACTTCTTCTGCTGCGT